TTTATATTTTGGTTAAGAGATTTGATCTTGTTATTTGGAGATTATTAAGATTTGTTAATGAAATTGTTTATTTTAAAGTTGCAAAACTAGTTTAAAACTTTATGAGAGATTGTATTGATATGCAGGTAAATGGCTTTACACATTCATAAGGTTATCCTATAGATGTGTGGCATTTGTTATGCTTAAACCTATGGGTTGGGGCGTGATAGTAATTTAGCAACATATGCCTTCTCGGTGAATTTTTTCTCAAATCTAGTCAAAACACCTTTTTAGCAACATATGCCATGTTGGTGAACATAGATTTAGTAACATTTGCCTTGTCAATGAATCTTTTCTTATATCTAATCAAAGCATCTTTTTAGCAATATATAGCATATTAATGAAAATGAGATTCAACATGTACCATGTCAATGAATATTTTCGCAACATAGTCAAAGTACCTAGTCAATAACTTTTCCCATGTTGATGATTTTCTAACTCTAAATTTTGCCTAGAACCTTCTACGAAATTCACCGACATAGAATATATTGCTATTTAATATTTTTAGCAACATATAGCACAATGTTATATGTTTTTGCATTAAAAAAATTCATTAATTCGTCCTTCCAATATTCTATATATTCCTTAAAAAATAATTCAATAAATTCATAATTTCATTAATATTTTATTTTATTAAAACTATTCTATCATCACAAACCTCAATTCCACTAATATTATAAAAGTATAAAATTACATAACTCTTTTTTTAATTATACTACTACATTTTGTCTAGAATCAAAATCATATTATGATACAAATATCTATAACTATATATATATATATATCTTTAAGCTATCATTCCAAAAATAATATAACAAAATTTCTAGTTTCCTACAAAATCTCTCATTACTTTCAATACATAAACATATGCATAATTTCAATTTAAATTTCACCTTATCTTTATAGTTACAATCACCATTTATTATAATCAATGATAGTTCATATACAATATAATAAATTTTATTTATAAAAAATAATTATAATTAAATAATCAAGATTTATATTAATTATCTATACATTTTTCACTAAATACACTTTAATTAAATAACTCAACCAAATTAATGTGGGTTTAGGAATTACCATACTTAATTTTTAACTTTAATGAGAATTATCTACAAAATAAATAAAATATTGAAAATATTAATTACTATATATGGTTATTTACAAATTTATTAACTTAAAAATAATTAAATTGAAGCTAACTTAAATACTTATTATTCACAAAATATAAAATAAAATAAAATAAAATTAGATCATGTCATTGTGGAGATTCAAGGAGTTGATGATTTCATACCAATTGAATTAATGACATATAGACCAAAATTTCATGAGAAGGGAGGCGCTAATAG